CCCCAGAAGCTTTGAAGCCATGAGACCAGATCTTACTATAACCTGACACTGCCAATAGTGGGCTCAGGTGCATGCAGATCACAGTCTGGTTTGGTGTTACTCATGGTGAGGCCATCTCTTCCTGGCTGAAATCAGGGGTTCTGTGATTCCTGCCACATCTTGAAGGACTATAATTCTGCCATCTGAAGGCCTGCTGGGTCACCATACTTCATTCTGTTGTCATTATGCTCACCCAGATGGTTGCTGTGAGCATGGAAAATGCACTGACCATAGTTGTCTGCCTCAGGTACTCCCCGCTAGCCGAGCAGTTCTCCCGCCAGTTCCCGTCACATGACCTGCCATCTGTCCTGGCCAAGTTTTCCTTGCCCGTTTCTTTATCAGAGTTCAGGAGCCCTCTGGCCCCCCCTGCACAGGAGGTGAGTCACTAGAGCCCTTATGTGACTTACAAAGTAGACTGGGTATAACGCCTGTCTGGTGCCCCCTGACTCAAAGGCTCTTAGCATTGTTGATCTTGTTGCCATGGTTTGGGGGGATTTGCTAGCAAGCACTGCAGGCTTCTTGTGGTCCATGGAGTCCACCACGGGCATCCTTAGGTCTAGGACTGGTTTAAGTTTGACAGAAGGGCATTCGCTTTTCCTGGGCTGACAGGATTCCCTTGTGCTGCCTTTGGGGCAGGGGCTTCTCACAGATGGAGGTGCAGACAGCTTTTGTTTTCACTAAGCCTGGGCCCTGCTTTCCAAGGCTGTTCAGTTCCTGTTTCCTTTCCTCTGGGAGCTTAGGCACCATGGGATCTTTGTGTGGAATCTTATGTTGCTGGGCCTAGAGTCCTTTTCCTAAGAAGACCTACAGTATCAGGCTAGTGTTGAGTCTTGAATGGTGGGCCTGAGTCAGGACAGTGGCTGGCAGTTAGAGGCTGTTGTGGTGGGGTGCTTCTCAAGGTATAGGGGATGAATTTGCAGTGGGCTGCAGGGGTCAGTTGCTTTTCACTGCTCCAGGCTCAAGGATGGTGAGATGGTGACTTGGAGTCTGTGAAGCTTTGCCCCCTCCCCTCTGTAAGTGCTTTGAGCTCTTGGAGGGAATCTAGGGAAAGAGCACAGGTGTTGGAGACAAGCTGGGTGATCTCCATGGTTTATCTTCAAAAGCAAAGTATTTGTTTTAATAGCTGCCAGATACACTGGGCAGAATCAGCCCTCAAAGTCAAACACTTCCCCTTCTCAAATTGTGAATGGGAATAAGATCCTGGGTTTTTAGCTCATTTACATGCTGAGTGTGCCAGAGTTCTAAAGCTGCCTTTCACGGAGCCCTTAGTTTCCAGGAACAGAGCCAGGAGGATGAAAGATGCACTTTGCATCAGCACCTCCCTCCTCTCCCCCAGGCAGCGCTATGGGGGAGGGCCTGGCAATGCTCCCATCCCAGCAGAAACTTCCCAGTTGTCTGAATAACGGCTGATCTTCGAGGCCATGTCTGAGCAGCTGCTTCAGGCCTTGTCAGGGGCCTGGGATGGAGCTGTTTGGTTTGCCACATCCCAGAGACATACTGTCTAGTGCTTATGAAGCTTTTGTGTTTTATTTTTGACATTTTGTGTTACAATAGCTTCAATTCTTTAGAATTCTATTTGGTTGTGACCATGGTTGGTATGTATATCTTCCTCCCCAGTAACCCAGCCCCCTTCCATGAGTGACCTGGGCAGCAGCTCTTCTGGGCCCTCCAAAGATGAGAGCACTGGCACTGTGTTCACACATTTTGCTGCTTGGTGTCTGTGTCTGAGACTTTTGCATCGGTGTTGGGTACCACCTGGCACTAGGTTGGTTCCATTGCTGTGGCCCAGTGCTCACAAGGAAGAGCCATTGGCCTCACAGTAGGTCCCCTTCCTGTTTCCTTTTACAATCACCTGTGTTCTTGAAGCAAACTTTGACGTAGAGTCCAGGACTCATATGACAGTTTCCTCTCTGAACTTTGTGTAGGCCTGCCTCAGTGGACTGTCTGATGGCAGCAGGTTTTAGTGGGCTGGAGGTGAGGGTGGCAAGAACAGATCTGGCTCTAGGGAAAGTTGGCTCAGAGAAGGGAGGGAACCCAGGCGTGTGATGGGAGCTAGTGCACGTGTGGTCTGGGAATTCTCCTGGACCTACTGTGTTCCCTGGGGTATGCTGACCTTGCAGTGCTACCCAGCAGTTGAAGGCCCCTTCTTCCTAACAGGAGGCCTTCCTGTTTAGGTTCTGGGGCTGCTAAGGACCATGGCTCTCTTATTCCCCAGGAACAGGAACCTGTTCCTCAAGGCTTGAGTCAGGGAACCAGCCCACCTGCTGTCTTACTCTGCTCATTCACAGACCCAGCTCATCCAGATGGTGGTGTGGATGCTGCAGCGCCGGCTTCTCATCCAGCTGCACACCTATGTCTGCCTAATGGCCTCACCCAGTGAAGAGGAGCCCCGGCTTCGAGAGGATGATGTCCCCTTCACAGCCCGAGTTGGTGGCCGCAGCCTTAGCACACCCAATGCTCTAAGCTTTGGCTCCCCAAGTACGATCCCCTTCCAGGACATCTGTCTGGTAATGGGGGGCTGGGAGACTTTGGTGGTGACATCCAGGAAGCCTGGGCACTGTGAATAAGAGGTGTCTATACTCACCTGCCTCTGTCCCTGTGGAGACCTCTTCCTCCTGTCTCCCCTGTACTGCTGCCATGGGTCTGAGGGAGAGGCTCCTCCCCGAGCAGCTAGCTGTAGTCAGGAGCAGCCTTTGCCCACTGCAGCACAGCTGGACTCTCCCACTCCAGACTGGGCTCAGAGCAGGGCCTCATATTGTCATCACAGGGACCACAGCTGTCTGGTGTTGGGGTCCATGTACCTTTACCTGTCTAGTGTTTTATCCCCCATGTTGGCTGAGGTGGGACAAGACACCTATTCCTGCCACAGGGTGTAGTGGGTATCCAGCATGCTTTCATTCTGGGTCCTTGAAGCTACTCCTATAGGGGTAGCTCCTTGTATTCTAAGTTAGCCACACAATAGGCACTTAGGTGGTGGGATGGCAGTGAGTTCTTGCATGAAGGCAGATTGTAAAGTTGGGCACCAGGAAAGTGTGGCAGTGATCTCATATCTGGATGTGGCCGTGCCTTTGGTGCTCCCATCTTGGTACACTGGAATCCAGCTGGCCTATTCCAATCCACAGCCAGCAGTGACGACATGACCCTTACCAGCCCCAGTATGGATAACTCCAGTGCAGAGCTGCTCCCTAGTGGAGACTCACCCCTGAACAAGAGGATGACAGAGAACCTGCTGGCCAGCCTCTCAGAGCATGAGCGGGCTGCTATCCTCAATGTGCCTGCAGCCCAAAACCCTGAGGACCTCCGCATGTTTGCCAGGTAGGGAGCAAATGACCCAGTGGGACATGGAGGATTGTGCTTGGGAGCACTGGTACCCTTGCACAGCTCCAGTGAAGTGGTGGGTCTCTCCCTGGGGTTAGTATGTACAGAGCAGGAGCCATTGTCCCGTGTAGAGATAGGGGTGCTTACTCAGAACTTCTGGATGTTCCATGTCACTGCTCTCAAGTTCCAACTGACTTGCCTTGTCAGGAATATGTCCTGATTGTTGACCCTGGGGGGAAACTTAGGGTCCTGTATCATAGCAGCTTGATGTCTGTCACGTCCATCCTGCCTTAGGTGATGTAAGGGCATGGTGTTATGGGAGAGGTCAGATTGTCATTCTTTGAAGAAACACACTGTAGACTGTTGGAGGGCCATTTGCAAGTCTAAGTGTGCTGATCCTGGCCTTTCTGTACCCTGGCCTTCTTTGTGCTGGACTCAGCTGCAGAAAGCTCCCTGGAGCAGACTGCCCCAGTACCATGGGAGAACAGGAAGAAGCTGTTAGCACTCTTCCCTTCAGCAGGGTGCATGCTCAGGGGGCTCTGAGTTTGCACATCCTTGCTGCTTTGTGGACTCTCTTTAGGCCCACTGCCACCTGTCACTGGGGGAACTGGTGGATCTCATCCCACCATTCTATACAAGCCTTTGGGCGGTTCACACCCTCACCCAATGGCTGTCCTCAGTAGCACTGGCCTTGGGCTAGGCTCATGCTGTCCTATGCCCTCCAGGCTCCTTCACTACTTCCGTGGCCGCCACCATCTGGAGGAGATCATGTACAACGAGAACACACGACGCTCCCAGCTGCTCATGCTCTTTGACAAATTCCGCAGTGTGCTGGTGGTGACCACCCATGAGGACCCCGTTATTGCTGTCTTCCAGGCCCTGCTCACATGAGCCCAGGCAGCACGCCTTTGTGTACACGGGAACAACCTCCCTCTGCCGCAGAATTCCTGCTGGGCCCTAGGAGGACAGGCAACCCCAGCCTGGCAGAACTTCCTGTTTTCATCCTCAGTCTGCTCAGAGGCAGCTATGGGGCAACCACCATCGTTGGGCTTTGTTTTTTCCTTGACACAGTCTTCTGTAGCCCAAACCTCATCATGTAGCTAAGGATGACCTTGACCTCCTGATTTTACTTTCTCTGTCCTCCAAGTGCTTTGATTACAAATGTGTGCCATCAATGTCACTCACTTTTAAAAAATATATTTATTTTTATTTATGGTTTTGTGTGTATGTGTGCCCTGAGGTCAGAAGAAAGCACGCGCTGGAGCTAGAATTACAGAGGTTGTGAGCCTCTGGGTGTGGTGCTGGGAACAGAAGATCAGGAAACATTTCTAACCATTGCTGTCTCTCCTACCCACCAGTCTCCCTCTTCAGTGGGTCCTTAGAGCAGCTTAACATTCCTGAGCTTCCAGGATGTGTCTTCAGGGTCCAAGCCCTTTATATAGATATGGATTGTGTCCTTCTCATCCCTTTCCCAGCCTGTCCCTTGTGGAACTGCCCTGGAGAGACTCTAAATACACTTGTTCAACTCACTCTGCTCCTAGGTGTGTATACCCGCACACTGCTGTTCTCCCTCTGTTACTATACATACTGGGTAACGCAATCTCCTGACCTGGATAAACAATTAACTGCATGAACACAAATTCTGGCTGAGACTTGGGGACAGTTCTCTGTAAACAGGATATTTATTTTACTTTTGAACAGTTTAAAGCCTATCAGAGCAGGCTGTTTGCTGAGGCTGATACATCTGTTCAGCCACTCTATCTACCACACTGACCCATGGGCTGCCCTGGACATAGAAGCGCAGGGGCTTCTGTGTCCACTCTCCTGCATGACCAATCCCTATGCGGGCTGCTGCCACCACAGGTGGGCTACTGGACTCCAGTGGGCCACACTCTAGCCACACAGCCTCATCTTGGGCCAGGTCTCGCTGGTCGAAGCTCTTATCAATGGCTAGGGCCTGGCACAGCTTGGAGGGACCGCTACAGAGCTCACGGTCCTTGAGGGGACGGCCGACAGTGCTTTTCCGGAGGGAGTTACGAAGCTGCCGCATGGTCTCCAGGCCCTCCAGGGGCTCTAGTGCTCTTAGCAAGACACAAGCCCCATCCCCTGTGGGACAGACAGAGAGCTTGGAAGTAAACCTCAGGCCTCCTGCCTGTGCACATACCCAGTGTTGCAGAGGTGCTGCTGTCTTCTTGCACATGGAAGCCGTATCCATGGTATCAGGCCCCTCTGCCTCCCCCTTCTCTATAGCATTGACTAGGCTGCTAAGCCTTCCCTGAGTACCTTGGGAAGTCTCCACCATGGAAGACTGACAGTGAGATTCCCCGTCAGTCCACTGCCCTCAGAGCCAAAACTATGATCACCTAGTGTGGGCGGGTCTGGCATCAACTTCTTCTTTTTGTAGCTTCCCCTAGTCTTTTTTTTTTTTTTTTTTTTTTAATGTGTCTCTAAGTGTATTCATGCATGTATCTATGTGCTCTGAGAGGATCCCCAGGAGTTAAGAGTTATGGGCAATTATAAACTGTTTGATATGGGATCTGAACTGGGACCCTCTGGAAGTGCTGTAAATGCCCTTAACCACTGGGTCATCTCTATAGCCTGCTTCCCCTAGTCATTTATTTATTATTTATTTGTTTGTTTATTTATTTGGTTTTTCGAGACAGGGTTTCTCTGTGTAGCCCTGGCTGTCCTGGAACTCACTCTGTAGACCAGGCTAGCCTCGAACTCTCAAACTCAGAAATCCGCCTGCCTCTGCCTCCCAAGTGCTGGGATTAAAGGCGTGCGCCACCACCACCCGGCGCTTCCCCTAGTCTTAACTGGTAGTGGCTATGAGAGTGGCAGAGGAAGCCCCAAAGAGCTAGCACCTCTAGGGTGGAAGGCATGTCACTCTTTCAGACCTAATCCAAATATGATACAGGTCAGGAAAGCCTGGAAGGTCCAGTCCTTTGAACCCCTCCTGCTAGGCTGTACCTAGCTCACCATCTGGGACTTCTCTCATTTCAGGGAGAAGTGGGTTACAGAGTGTCTGTAAGTACAAAAGACATGGTCCCTGTTCTCAGTCCCCCAGAGCCACCTTATCACCCCACCGATGGGCTCCTCCTCATCTTCATGCAAACACCTTTGACCTCCATGTCCTTGCAAAACTCTGCTACACATGTGCTTTAACTTGGTATCCTGTGCTCTGCCCTGTGTGGCCTTTCTACCCTCATCTTCTTCCCAGGCCCTCAGCACTCACTCACACCTGGCTGGTGACATCCATGTCCTCAGCCTCTACTCAACATGGACGGCCCTAACTAGGACCATGTGCACCCTTGTGGGATTGCCCTCAACTTGGGTGGTCCTGGAGGATTTCAGCTATATGTTCATTCTTGCCTCTGCCTTGTCCACTGTGTCCTCAGAACCTGTTTTCCTCCCTCAGAGACTATAGAACTAACCATTCCTGGCTTGTTTCCTTACTTCAGCCACGGGCAGGGTTGGTTCTGTCCAAGAAGGCTTCTGTGATCTCTTTTTAATTAAAGGAATTAAAAAATGCATTGGTGTTTTGTCTGTATATATGTTTGCACCACTGGTATGCCTGGCGCTGGGAAGAGAACCCAGGTCCTTCGCAAGAGCAGCCAATGCTGTTAACAACTGACTACTCTTCAGCCCTGTCTGTGATCTTTTGATATCTAGTCATACGTAGTGTCCCTCAGAATCGACTTGGTGGTAGGTGCACAGCCAGTTCTGTGGTCCACTCACCTCCAGCTCCCAAGCCCCCTGTGGTGGAACTCAGCCGTCTGCTATGGGTAACCACAATTCCCTGCGTCATAAGTACTTGTCCAACAAACCAAGAATACTGGTCACTTAGGGACAAACAGGGAGGGCTCAGCTCACAGGTATTGAGCTATGCCAGCCATGCTCCTGGTCAGCAGTGGCTTTGGCTGGATGGTACTGGCTCTTCAGGGTCAGACCATTGAGAACACAAGGCTACATGCTTGTCAGGACAAAGCTGGACCCCAGAGGAGAGTTGGTTTCTCCTATGAGCACTACTGCACCAGCATCCCTCCACTAAAGCTGTCTGGGGCCAGAAGGTCTATGTGGTTACCACATGGTTTCTAGTAGCTTCCCTGCCTTTACCTGCTAGATGCTACTTGGTCATGATATTCAAATGTCACCACTAATGTCCCCTGTGGGAGCAGAAGTGCTCCTGGCTGAGAATAGCTGTGCTAGATCCTCTAACAGATCTTTTGGTAAGGTTCTTGTATAAGCCCAGCTTACCCCAAACCAGGCTTTTTCCACTTCCCTATCCTCCACCACTCCAAATCTAACCCAGGATCAAAAACATTGCTCTGAACTCTGGCCACAGACTGACTGCTTTGCATTCAAACGCTGGCCATAGTCTCTATTCTGTGTGTAGCCTCAGCTGCTTTAGCCAGCCTCGGCTACCTTTAAGAATAGGCAATGCTCCTGAAGTCCTAATTTGGCCCTTGGCAATGGCACTTTCCTATTCAAATGCCTGTCTTCCCAAGTCTTTCAGTGGGGTTGGCCAGCTGTAGCCTGTCTGTTCCCTCAAGCCCAGCACCACTAACCTTGACTGGAGACGTTCAAGCAGAAGTACATGCCATAGATGAGGTACACATACAGGGTCCCAGGTTTCATGAACATGCCACGGTTACGGGCGGTCTGCCGGCCACCCCTTGAGTGAGCAGCTTCATCTTCTGGCCCCAAGTATGCCTCAGTTTCCACAATGCGCCCACGGAGTTCTGTTCCATCAGCGAGTCGCCGGACAAGGACCTGTGGGCAGTGAGTCTGTTCAGGTTGATGGGGGCCAACCCACCTGGACAGTCCCCACCTCGGCCTCTTTTAAACTCAGGATGTACCAGGCATCCAGGTCCAGCCAGACCCAGCTACCTGGCTTCTCCATTCTGTCCCTTGTGCTTTTGCTCAGAGCCTGAACACTGATGTCAAGGTCACCAGCCCCTCCTGACCAACTCTAGTTCTTTCTCACTAAGAGTTCTAAGCACACCTCAGGATTCACTTGGAGTCATGGTGCAGGTTGACTTCCAAGTCCCCTCAGTGGCTCTGCCTCCTCACATCCTCTCCCAGAGTTCCCTTGAGAGAACCTAATGTTCAGTCGGTCCAAGGGTGTCCCTGTTGCAGACTGTGTGGTGTGCTTGTGAAGCCAGGCTGCCAAGGCAGCGACAAAGGATCCATGTGCTCAGACTGTGCCCACCAGTGCTGAGGCGAGGACCAGTGAGAGACTGCCAGCTGGTCCAGCTCATGCAGTGCCTAGCCTGGACTATGATCCTAAAAATGGCAAACAATCTTGACTCAGCCAGGGCTTGCAGGATTTCAGCATCCAGCCATGTTCATTACCCTTCACAGGTCTGAGGAGTTAAACCTGTCAAAAGGCACCTTCTTCTCCGCCCAAGTAGACCCATGGTGACTCAGGGTCAGCTGGTAACAGACAGAGTAGAAAAAAAAAGGTAGCCAATGTTTGTCATGGAAGCCTGGAAATTCAGGAACCCAAAACACAGGGAATGAATGTTTTAGGAAGAGAAAAAGGCCAGAGAGTATTTCTTCATTAACTACCCACGTGCTCCCATGTCTCCAAGGGCCACACTGGGAACCCCACCTTAGCTTCTCAAGGGACCTCCTGGGGCTTTTTAGGTGGAGGGTCTGGAAAAACAACACGCTCCTCAGCCCACAGTAGTCTGCTGCCCTGACATCCCATTTCGGCGAACCTCTCTTTTACTGGGCTTATGACCCACACCTGGGTTTTCCTTGACCGAAGGGATACACAGGCAAAATGGCCTCTTCTCTGCCAGACATCATCTTGTCTACCAGTGTGGGTTCGAGTGGGTACGACAGGAAGCCAGCTGATACGTCAAGAAGCTGAGTAGAGATAGGCAGGAGCATGATGGTGGTAATGGTGCTTTTGAGCCATCCTTGAGCCCTTGATGTAAACCTGAGATAAGTCTGCACCATTTTTTTATATCCTAGCTGTTGATTACTCTGGGGCTTTTAGAAGGAACACAGATCCCTGCAGCTTAAAACATCCTGAGAACAGAATCTCGTCCCTTCTCTAGTAGGTCAGGGTCTGTTCCTGGATCTCTTAGCACCAGTTCTAGTAGAGAAACTGGCTGTCCATGGCCATGGGTGCCGTAAAGAGAAGCTTGTTAAAGGAAAAGGTAGGGTCAGCTAACCTCTAGAACCAGAGGGTCCAGAGGCATCCAGAAGTAGTGAGTGCTAGATGAACTCAGCCAGCTCCATGACGTGCACTTCAGAAGGTGACAGGCTGTACTGTAAGCCACACCAGGCTGGGCCTGGGGTAGTCCCCACTTCCACTGTAAGCATGGCTGGCACAGCCTAGATCTTGACTCTGTACAGAGCCCAGGGTACTGAGCCATGCATTGAGGAGGCCAGCTCTTTCAAGAATTCAGACGCTGACAGCCTAATGGTATCCCTGGCACCAACCATCAGGGAACAAGGCAGGCAAGAGTGGTCCCTATTCTTTGCAGTGATCCTAGACAACAGTCAAACTATTGGACCGACCCATATGGGCAACAAAGCTACCTATGTACACACAAGGAAGGACAAGTCAGAGACGAGACCTAGTAGTAACAGGACTAGGGTTCCTGGAACCTGCACCTGCATTCCATTACCTGTCCCAGAAATGCACGGGCTAGGGTGACTGCTGGTTGGTCAAAAAACTCTGGTCCTAGCCGGGCTGGGTGGTCCTCTGGGCTGGAGAAGTAGATACTCTGCTGGAGGCCCGGGGTGGAAGGGAGTCTCTCTTTAGGGGTCTGCTCCTGCTCTGAGTCTGCCAGTCGTTGCTTTTTTTGCCCGATCTTTCGAGAAAGCTGTAATGGGGGAAAAAAAAACAAAAGAAGTGTCTGCCTATCTGCCTGTTCCTTTATCTATAAAGTGAGGTGCCCATTGAGTGAGTCATTCTGAGGCATGAACAGAACCCTACAGCTAATACTGCCTCGGGGGCCTTGGGACTTGGTGTAGGTAATGTTAGCGGTGACAGGATGAGTGGGTATCTTCTGCCCACACCTGCTCCACATAGGGGAAACATGGGTAAGGAGCATTGGGAGAAGGTGGGTGCCTGAGTCCAATACAAAAGAGCTGCTTTTTCTGATTCCCACCAATCACACCATCTCCAAGGAAACTTGTTTCTGGAATCTGGTTCTTTGTTCCTAATCCTGGCCAGGAATTAAAATACGGTCAGAACCTGGGCAAGGAAGGTCTATCAGAGAAACATACTGAGTTTGTCTGGGCACTGCTCAGAAGATAGGTCACAAGACCCCCTCAATATTGACAAGACCTGACACACCAATGGGTGTGCATGGAATGACCACCTGCCTGGTCCCATTCTAAGTGCTCAGGGTAGAACCCTGCTGGCCCCAACTGTCCTCTCTGACTGCTTGGATATTACAACTAGGAACTGGGAAAAAAGGCCTATGGGTCTGTAGTACCATCAGGCGCTAGTCTACCAACAGCCGATAAACAAAGCAAGGAAATCTGACCGCATCCTTCAGCTATTGTGGTACAACAGGAGGGGATTAAACGGACAACTGGGCAGTGAACCTAGGGGTGGGGCCAAGACCTATCCTCAGTCAAATCTGGGCTGGCTGGTTAAAGAGCCATTACTTTTTTTTTTTTTTTTTAAGACAGGGTCCCATGTAGACTACGCTGGCTTTGAACTCCTGATCCTCCTACTTCCATTGACTTCCCAAGTACAGGCGTGCGCCACCACGCCCGGGTAAGACCCATTATTTTATCTGTTGTGCTGGCGTCCAGGTTGGACTAAGGCTGCCAGGCTGCCGGGAATGGATGCTGACGTGACCGTCTCTGCAGCCAGTCCCACTGTGCCAGCTCGCCGTGGGCTCAGACTCCGCGACGCTGCGCCCCCTCTCTCACCGGCGCTGGCATCTGGCCGACTTCATGATATCCGGTCACTAGGGATCCTGCTCTGGCATTCTCTGGGCGGCGGGCTCGTCCAGGAAATGGAGGCTGCTCGGTGTCGGGGAGCAGGGTCACGGATACTGGTTTTAAGGATCCTCTGCCCAGACAAGCACCACGACCGCGCGCGAGCATCTAGCCGCCGCCAGCACAAGCCAGGCCACCGGAAGCGTGGGGAGGGCGGGGAGTGGAGCCTGCGCCTGCGCAGAAGGCATGCAGTGAGGGGGTGGGGCGAATCTGCAGTAGAGGCGGAGCGAAGAGCCTAGGGGAGGGACAGGGCGGGGCGAGTGTAGAAGCCTTTACTTTCACCACTAGGATTGGAACCCGGGTTCCCTAGGTCTGGTTCTGTCCCAATGGCCCGACTACCATCAAGCCATTTCGCTGAACCTGTACTGAATTTTCGAGGGTCCCGGACCAAAAGGCCTTGCCTTGGGATAGGGTGGGCCACAGAGGGTGCTGTAGAGAACAAACATGAGACCTTGGGAATCTCAGACTGAATTCTGATCCTCGAACTCTCCTTCCCCAACCGGATGGTGGAACTGACCGGAAGGAGATGCCTGCTCCATCTGGAGGCTCCTACTCTGGGTCATCACAGCTGATAGGTGGAAGGAAAGGGAATTCTGCTTCTGCAGTGGATCCCCACTTACATGCCTGGACTCCTGATTCCTGGAACTGCTGCGAAGAGGGCTCACCGCCTAAGCTAAGCTAGCTTGGAGGGCAGGACCAGGACTGCAGGGAGCTGAGCATACCCATCTGACCGGATAACAGTTGCCCGGCATCTCTTAATTATTACTTCTCTGGGACCTAGGCTTGCCACCCACCTATCGGTAACCTTTCAAATGAGGCTGTGCATCCGTGCCGGAGACTTGAGCCTCGAATGGGAAGTGACTGGCCCAAAGGAAAGGATGGTCAAGGGAAGGGAGGTCTTGGGATAGGGTAAGCAGCTCCCCTCCCCTGCTTCAGTTCAGTGGCAGCCCCCACACCCAGCAGAGCCACGCACCCTCTTCTACCGTTCTAGGGGTGATATGGATCTGAAGGGTTTCTTAGCAGACACAATCCTATCTCCCCGTTCACACTGCTTGATTAAAACCATGGATGATGGCTTGTCAGAGCTTTCTTTGATTTCTGAGACCCTGGCATCTGAGACTGGCGATGTTAAACGAGACAGAGCAAGAGGCCATATACTTAGGAGCCTTAGATGAACAAGCCACTTAGCCTAAGGACTCTGGTCCTCAACTGCTTCTCCACTGGCCAGCCAGCTCAGGGACTGAACTCTAGCCCAGGCTGGGACTCAGCCATCCCCTCTCATGGGCCTCAACTAGGACTTCCTGGGGAGGGAGCAGCAGCCTCTCTGCCTGCCTGCTGCCTGCTGGAAGTCATCCAGCTGTTTGTGGCACTCTGTGCAGTTTCCGGGGGTGGGGTGGGGGCAATGTGTTGTAAATTTGAACTAACGAGGTTGGCCTTATCCCCCATAGAGATTCCGTCCAAACAATGCCTCTCTTTTCCTGTGAGGATAATGCCCCTTCCCAATCTAAGAGGGAAACTGAGACCCTACTTGGGTTCTGGTCCCCTGGTGAGGGCACTCTGAAGACGCCTAGAGAGCTACCTCATCCCCACCTTTGGGTGAAAGACAAGCTCCTTCTGTTTGGTGGGCAGCCTGGCTTCTGCCCCAGGCAGAGACGGGGGTGGTAGCCAGCATCTTATTCTCCAGATGTTCTGGCCAGAGTGTGGGATTGTGCAATGTCTTCCCCTCCCCCCCACTTCCTGGTTTGTGGTGTGAAGCTCCCACTACAGGCTGGAAGTGCTGGGTTGGGCTTCCCTACTGTGTTTTGCCAGCAAGGTTGCCAAGAATAAGGGAATGTCCAAGAGGTAGGAGCCTGGGACCTCTTCTGTGCCCAGTAACCCTTGAGCCTACCTGGTTGGTGGCAAGGATGCCATTGGGAGATTCTTTAAAAGGAGTCAAGGTTGGGGTTGGTGATGGTGAAAGCTCTTTTGATTCCCCACAGGCTGTGGGAAGGTTGGAGCTGCTTCCAGTAGCTGCCAGTCCCTGCTAGCTCTGTAGTCTTCAGTTTTACTGTCTCAGGGGCTTAACACACTGTCTCAGTCTCCTGTCTACCATGGACAAAGCAGAGCTGGGTTGGAGCCAGTTGGCTCCTGATTTGGAAACTAGCACCCTACAGCAGCTTCTCAGTAGAGTGGCTGCTGTCACCCTGGCAGGCCTCAGTGGGTCTCTGTAGCTTGGGGACCCTTAATGGTTAGCTGTTTCTTGGGCAGAGAGGGGAGGTATGCTGTCAGGCTGCTAGGATCTTGGCTCAGGAGCTTATAGGGCCCCCTTGCCATGTCCAATACCATGAGGAAGGGGTTTCTTCAGAAGTAGCTGGGGACTTCAGGCCTTTCAAATCTAGCTTGAGGTAGAACAGGGCTAGCCTTGGCCACTCTGTCTTCTCCCCAGATAGCAACCAGGGTCCATCTCTGCATCTCTCTGTGTGGTGCCTGGAAGCTAAGCTGAAGGTTCAGGAAGTACCTGTTGAGAGTCCTTTTACTGCTCAGGGATCCTAACCACACAGTCGCTGGAGGTCATGTAGAAGCCTGTGTATCCCAACACCTGTTCACCAGTTCCAGGGTATTAGGAACTGCAGCTGACTTCTGTTCTGCACAGTTAATAAAAGCATGAGAGAACTCAGGGCTTGGATTCTGTGTAATAGGTTCTTCCACCCAAAGCATAGGTCAATAGGACAGGTAGTCGGTAATGGGACTGTGGAGACTGGATAAAGGCCTGATAATTTGTCCACACTTCTTTCCTAGAACTGTCCCGATGCCCTTACTCATGACTTCAGGATGTGTTTTGTCTGGGGACTGCTGAACCCATATGTTCAGATGGGAGTCTGTCTGCAGATACCATACTCTCAGGACCAACACCTGTGTGTGTATGGACATGGAGGGGTTTGCCAGGGGTGGGGACCGCTGCAGACTCCCCTGGAGTGTGTGAACGTCACGGTCGCTGGAGCAATGAATCCTGGAAAGCTGTTTGTCTGTCACTGCATACAGACAGCCTTGTCTGTGGAACTCTTATATTAAAGATGACTCTGGGGCTGCCGAGATGGCTCAGCAGTTAAGAGTGCTTGCTGCCCTTCCAGAAGACCGGAGCTTGGTTCCCAGCACCTACACTGGACAGCTCACAACTGTCTACTACAGTTCCAGGGTGATCTGATGTCCCTTTGGGCATCTGTGGGCACCTGCAACCACACACAAATATAAATAAACAGACAATTCTTTTTGTAAGAAAAGGCGACTAACTCCTGGGTGTGTCTTCACAGTGAGTCTCCTGTAGGGAGGGCTTCTTCAGCTGGGAATAGATGTCTAGGTCTCAACATAGGTCTAGGTGACCCTGCAGCATCCACAGCTGGAGGAGGGACCTACAGGCACCAGATGCCCAGCTGTGGCCGGTTCCTTATTTTCCAGAAAGGATGCTACCCCTGCACCTCCAGCCAGCCCAGTCTGGGCATCCAGACCCTGCTTATTCCTAGCATGAGTCAAGAATGCTAGGCATGGAGACTGTCCCATCTCTGGCTTGGCATGTGTGGGCTACAGGAGCCCAGAACATCTGCACCACCACGACAGCCTTCTTCTCCCTCAGCTGAGAGCAAAGGAGCATTTCGTGGCCAGCATACAGAGGGATGAACTATGCCAGACGTCATATGTGAGCACTGAGGCAGAGAGGAGAGAAGAGTGAGCGCACGCGCGGATGTACAGAACGGTGCTGTCACTCTGCACAATGGCTTCAGGGGTGGCAGGTGCAGTCTGACCCTTGTATCTGCTGGGAAAGAAGTAGGGGAAGGGGTAATTGCTGAGCCGCGGTTCCTGTGACACGGCGTATCAGTGTATGAGCGTGAGCGTGCACACTAGTACATGTGTTAGGGTAGAGAGTGTGAGCCCATGGAAGTGCATTTTGAGTAGGTGGGCGCACGTGTCCGTGTAAGCAGGTGCGCGAGGGCTCGAATGCATGAGTATTAGAAAGATCGGGTGCGTGTACATGGGGGGAAGTGAGTGCTTCGGGACCCTCGGTGATGTACCATACCAGTGCGTGCCTTCGGAAGAAGGGGCGTTCAATCTGGCTTTTAGGTCCCTCCCACCCACTTTTTTTCTCCGGAGGTCCCCTTCCTCCCTTCCCAAGCACAGGGGCAGCACAAGGTGAAGGAGTTAGGAAAGGCGAGCCCACGACAGATGTGGTGATCACGGTGGTCGCTGGCGAGCCTGACTCCCAGCTACAGGTGTCTCTGCGGGACCCCCGGCAGAGCGCAGCCGGAGGTCTTCCCGGAGGAGGCGCCCGGGGCTGGCAGCGGGCGGCGCGCATTCCTCAGCCCTGAGTCAGGCGGCCGCCCCTCTGCCGGGCCCGCCCCCGGCGCGCACGCCCCTCGGCCCGTGGCATTCCCAGGCGGACGGGCCGGGCCGGCGCGCGGGCGGCGCAGGCAGGGACTAGGCGCGGGCGCCCTCCCGGCCGGCGGCTGCAGCCGGTGCAGACCCCTCCGAGGACCCTGTGGCGGTGAGTGGCGGCCGGGATCTTTGCGAGGCGCTCCGGGCGGGCGGGTGCGGGGCTAGCGTTGTGGCGCGTGTCCGCCGATCGCTGGCAGTCGGTGCGCGGAGTTTCCCGAGCGCCGGCGGAGGCGGCCCGGCCCGGATTCCAGCCCGGCGGGCGCCCCACAGAAATAGCCCGTGGCCGGATCGGCGCGGCCTGGCGGGCGGGGCAGCAGGACACTGGCTCCGCCGGGTCCCCGGGGCCGGGAGTCCGAGGGCCGCAGCCGCCTTGAGCGGCCCCTCCGCTGCCAGCCCCTCCCCCATGCCCTCCATGCTCCCAGGCCCCCGAAGGTGGCGTCTGAAACTCTGCGCAGAGCGCGCGACTTCGGGCCACCGGGTCCGCTTCCTCCCACTCACGGGACTAACAGTGGCAGCTGCGGGCCGGGGAGCTCGGCTGGGCCTGCTCGGCCCGTGTCAGCCCGGTTTGCATCGGCAAACTCGGAAAGTGCTTCCAAAGACATCTCCTGCCCTGTAAAGTGGCCCCGAGGGCGACACTGGGGTCTTGAAGTAGGCCTGGGCGCGGTGGGGTGACCGCGGACCCCAAGTGCTCAGGAATAGGCGAGAGGGCCTGTCTGTCCTG